TTTTGTTTATACTTGGTATTGTCGTAGATATTGGCTATCGAGGCTCGAGTCGCATCGTTCCTCTGCCGGTCGGAGTAATATCCAATCAGTTGTTGCGTGAGCTTTGGATAAATAAGGAAGCGTACTCATTCAATTGATTCTGAGTACTATGGGGAATTGGTGTCGAACGGCCTTGGGGTGAAAGTAGTTTAACAGAATCTGAATTTTGTCCAAGCTGAGATTGGGTCTCAATGGGAAAGACCCACTCTGATGAAGATCTCGTAGTCTGAGGTGGCGGGCGGATCGCACTCTGCTCCTGAGGCTCGTGCGGCGTTTGTGGATTGGCGATGGAGTTTTCGCGACAATATGATGAACAGAACAGAGCCCCACTTGTTTCTTGACCGCAGCGAGAACATTCTTCGTACAGTGATGGCATAGCTAAGATGGTGCAGTAAACCCTTCTGGAGATTTGGAGGTGTATGAGTTCAACTCCTAAGCCCTTCAGAAGATGATGTAATTAAGGGAGAGACAATGCTTACTCATAGCATGTGTAAATGATTACTCATCAAATCGCCACTGGAAGTATTACCGTGAACTCTGGATTTGCGCCGCAACCTACAACGGCAGGATGTTGGTATCGAAATATCTGCCCACTACAACGACGCGTGAGGACGCGTGAAGGCTAGATTCTTGTCCGGAAAGATGTTGTAGACAATTCTGCCTCGATCACTTTATGTAGTCAGCTATAGATGCCGCCATTATATCCTTCGGTAGTATCAATGTGCTTGTTATTTCTCTGAAATTGAAGCACCTCAGACAGACCAAAAAATGCATCAACAGGGAGCAACCGAACTATAGTGGGACAATTGGTCATGAATTGAAGATATAAATGTTGGAAAAACTAAGATTTTAAGGTAAAGACCATGCTTGAAACAAGGAATTCAGATCCGATCAGCTTAATGATAATATTACAACCCTTATGCGGCATTTAACTAGCCATCCGAATAGACTATTTGGGATGGTCATTTTGTAACAGCCATCTGGTTCAAGTGGCTTTCATTTATCTCACGACCTGGACTCACTCTGCGAAGCACTTCCTCATTCGCACGATTATCCACATTGCTTCCTTCGGGTACCGGGGCATGGGGACGAGAAATAGTTTGCCGTGAAGGATGAGCGGTGCCGGTCTGCAAAGTTCCTTCATCAGTTACTCTGTTGGCTTCGGAGAGAGCAAGATCTCCAGAGTCAAAGTATGTTCGTTCCTATGTATTTGTTAGCTTGTACTCTTTCCGAGCCGGCTTCAAACTTACTCTAGACTTATATCGACGCAAATCCCCCAATATCTGGCTTTTGTACTTGGCCAAGATTCTCTGTTCTCTTTCGGAAAGCTGCTAACCGAGAGACAAATAGTGAGCAGTTTCCGTGAAAAAAAAAA